CCCAAGTTCCTGAGCCGAGGCAACTTTGGTGATGACGGACACGTGGCCTTAGGCAAACGAGTCAGGGTTTCCAAAATTTTCCCAAAATAAAACATTTAGGTGGCGACTCTGTATCTGGCAAAGCAGTCCATGTTTGACACTTCTTTCAAAATCTGTTTTCTCAAAACGATTTGCTGGATTTGGATTCTTTGGTTCAGATTTAGAATCGTGACAATTTGAGAGTCTGAACTTGTAGTGAGCCCAAATGAGCAGAACGGGACTCATCCTCCCGGGGCATTCGGGGACGTCTACAGATTTCTTGAGAAAAAATGGCTTTTTCGATATATATTGAAGTCGATCTACAATGATCTGTTGTCGCCATCTCCAGATCTACAACGATTCGCCGTCGCCGTTTGCAAATCTACATCGGTCCACCGTCATCTCTGTGTGTCGACGCAGGTGGACTGGACAAATCCATTGAGAGAGAGAGAGAGACGAGTGATGTGTGAGAACAATGTCGGATATCTGCTTTGATAAGGCAGATAGAGAATCAAGCATGACTGTTAATGGCAGAAAGGAAGTATGTGATTAGTTAGCAAACACGAGAACCCTTTCTCCAACTCAATCTGCATTCATTGAGGTGCGGTATCTTCAATATATTCATATTACCATTCCAAAAAGGAAATATCACTTTTCCTATTTGTTCCAATCTGTTGATGGAAAAATTTCTGCATATTTATTCATGTATCAAATTTTATAGATTAGTTCCAAAAAAAAAAGAGAAGATTTTATACTAGATGACTTTCAAGAGCTGATGAAGGAGTTTTTTTTTTTTTTTTTTTTTACTTTCAAGAGCTGATGAAGGATTTTTTTTTTTTTTGCTGCAAGATTTGTTTGGTGTAGATATGTTGATACACTGGAATCAAATTCTCTAGTTTAAAATTGTGAACAAGCACAGAGAAATTTTGATTAAAATAATTTTCTCTGATTTAAAATCATTATGCTAAAAATTCTCTAGTTATGTATTGTTTGTGTATAAATTGAATATCTTTCATTCTAGTCTGTCTTTGATTGTATCGACTGTGTTCCAGAACTACTCTATGTTGCTCTCAAAATGCATTATAATTGTAATTAATTTGAATAAAACCATCATTCAGTTGGATTTTTAACTTGGCATTTTGATTGAGTTGCTTAATTCTTGCATTTTTTTTCTTCCATTATTCTAGAGAAATTTGTAAACAAAACTAGAGAATTTTCAATTTTCTTGAAATTCCTCTAGTTTGAACCTAGAGTAATTTTTTGCACGTAATGAGGCAAATTTCTCTAGTTTGGAGAGAATTTCTTTGGGATGGGAAATTCTCTCAATCAAATTTTTTCTGAATCGATTTGAGGGACCTTAGACATTATGAAAATATTGAATGTCCTTTATATTATAAAATCTTAATATCAGGGACCCTAAAAAAAATTTCCTAAATTATATTACTACAATTAGAATGAGATTAATATTCACATATGTCATAATGATATGTCATAATATTATTGATTTAAATATAATATGTTATTAAATAGACGTGTTCAAATTATTAATCGCTATTAAATTTTTTATTTTATTTTAACTTTTATAATTTCTTTCTTTTTATCCTTTTAAACTACAAAGACTTGAACAATAAATTTTTTTAATACAAATATTTTTTTTTAACAAAAGACAAATATTAAGAAAATGAATGACTCTTTTAACACTTGTCAGACATAGTGAATTCTGTTAATTTTTTTTTTTAATCTCAATTGCCAATTAAACAAATTAAATAAAAAATAAATTTTTTGGCTTAAATAATTAGAAGTGACTTTTGTTAAAATCCAATAAAAATAAATATTATTTTTCTATTAAAAGTGATGGTTGGTGAAACTTATTTTTATTTATATAATAAAAAAAAATGAGAGTTACACGTGATTTATTGTTTCAGCAATGTTACAAATTCACACTTTCACTTACAGTGATGTGGCAAGGGAGTTGAACCCTATGTTATTGAGTATATAGCAAATCAAAAGTTGACACATATTGTGGGTATTTTTTGTAGGTCTCAAACATTTTTCTTATTATTTATCTAGAATTTTTTAACACTTGTGAAACATGATAAATCCTGTTAATTTTTTAAAAAAAATCTCAATTTTAAATAAACTAAAAGAAAAATAAATTTTTTTGGGCTCAAATTGCTAGAAAGTGACTTTTGCTATAATAAATAAAAATAAATGTTATTTTTCTATCAAAAGTGATGATTCGTGAAATATCTTTTTTATTAAAAAAATAAGAGTTACATGTGATAATTTATTGGTCATCTAAAACTATTTTCAGATCAAATGAGAATACTATTCTAAATTTTTTTCTTACCTTTTTTTTATCCATATACTTTTTTTTGTAACAAATTTAATTTATTATATTTAAATTATTTTATGTCATTATAAAATGTAATTTTTTTTAATATTAACTTATTCAATAATCCCTTTCTAAAAGGTGTAATTTTTTAAACATAATAAAAAAAATTCTATTAGACATATTGCTTTTGTTTTTGTTCATTAATATTAAAATTTTAATTAATCTTATTTATTATTAAAAAAATAAATTAGTAAATAGTTTTATATATTTATATATATAATTTTATTTCGATTTCCCAAGTTATTTAGTGTCTCTGTGCAAGTCTACTCAAATTTATTCGAATTTTACATAAATTATCACCGAATTAAAAATTATGTTACCCAATCTTTAAAAAAATTTAGACTTCACTCAAATTGTTTGGATTGAACTTGCCCGAGTTTACAACTCTAGCAAGTGAGTTGCAAGTTATATGATTCAAATTGTAACAAATTAAAAATTGATATACATATATATTATGATTAAATTGTGAAACTTAAATTATAAGTTTCAATATTTTTTTTTCATAATTTACATATAAAAATTTAACTTCTGTATATTATTTTATATAAATATATTTTATTAATTTTTTCACATTCCGTATATAGCACGAGTTTTCACTAATATATCATAACAAAAATATTACACACCTAGAAAAAATAAAAAATACCCGCAATTTAAATTTATGATATAAATTTCCTTTCAGTATAATGTGATATGGGTCACACCAAAAATGAAATTGATTCTGAACACTTTTCTAACAATTCTTTTCTAAATACGTAATACTGTTGCTAATAACATAATTGCAGTATTTATTATATATGTTTGTGGTAGTAAATAATTTTTTTTTTCTTAATTAGGGGTTGTTTGGGATGATCTAAATAAGTGTACTTTTTAATTTTTTATGAAATGTGAGTTGGGTTTGGATTGAGTTTGAAGTGATATATTAGAGAGATAATGTAATTTAAATAAGATGATGTAATTTAAATAAGATAATAATTTTTTAACTTTTTTCAAACAGGCCAAACCCGCTTGTTTCCAACATAAGTCTTCATAAGTCAAAAATATACCTTTTTCCTAAGCCTTACAATCTCACCCACCCAACTCTTTCCTACCTCAACCATCAAACTATCTCAGACCCTTCCTAAATCTCACCCACCCAACTCTTTCCTACCTCAACCATCAAACTATCTCAGACCTTTCCCTAAACCTTCTCTTAATCTCTCATGGCTCTTATCCCTTTTACCCTTCAAAAATTCCAAAATCAAAAAAATAAATTAAAAAGAAGAAAGAAAAAAATATAATAACAACCAGGCAGGATGGCCTTTTGGAGCTCCTTTCATCTCCCTCTCCTTATTGGCCTCCTGTCTCTCCTCTTGCACCCCATCGCAGCCACCACGGATGGCATTCATCTCAGAATTCGGCCTCCCTCCAACATCCTCATCTTCAAGGAAGCCCCCACCTTCCGCATCCCCGTCTTCAAGGAAGCGCCCGCCTTCCGCAATGGCAATACATGTAATTCCCAAAAAAACAATAAAATCCATATAGTCATGACCCTTGATGCAAATTACCTCCGCGGCACAATGGCAGCCGTGCTATCGATCCTACAACACTCGATATGCCCGGAAAACAACTTTTTTCATTTTCTCTCCCTCCATATCAACCCTGAAATAAATTCAACCATAAAAACTACCTTCCCTTACCTAAACTTCAAGATATATCACTTCCCCTCAAACTTGGTTTTTGGGAAGATCTCCAAGTCTGTCCGGCAAGCATTGGACCAACCCTTAAATTATGCCCGAATCTATCTTGGTGACATCCTTTTGACAGATGTGGACCGTGTGATCTACCTAGACTCAGATATCATTGTTGTGGACGATATCATGAAACTATGGGAAGTGGATTTGGGTGACAAGGTGATTGCTGCACCGGAATACTGTCACGCGAACTTTACAACCTATTTCACCAACAGATTTTGGTTAGACAAGAGTTTGACAAGAACATTTGAAGGAAGAAGGCCGTGTTACTTCAACACCGGTGTGATGGTGATAGATATAGGTAAATGGAGGAGAGGAGGGTATACACGGAAGGTTGAGGAGTGGATGGCAGTGCAGAAGCAGAAGAGGATATACCATTTAGGGTCTTTGCCACCTTTTTTGCTTGTGATGGCTGGGAATATAAAGGCGATTGATCATAGATGGAACCAACATGGGTTGGGTGGTGACAATTTTGAAGGAAGATGTAGACGTCTCCATCCAGGCCCTATCAGCCTACTACATTGGAGTGGCAAAGGTAAGCCATGGTTGAGATTGGATTCGAGGAAGCCGTGCATTGTTGATCATCTATGGGCCCCGTACGATCTCTACCGTTCATTGAACGTCAGATTAGAAGAATGAGAGAGGGAAACAAATCACATGATAGTAGAACTAACAGAACGGCGAGAGAGATAAATTCTAGGCTTTTAGAGAAGCAAATCATTTGATGTGAATAGAATTGTTGAGGGCAAAAACTTTAGTGGGAGGATTTCATTCTACCAGAGGAGAAATGGGTAGGGTTTTGGGTTTAGCCTTCTGTTGTACAGACAATTTTACTTTTCATTCTTCATTAGGAATAGCTAGGGTTTCGCCTTTTATTATTGTAAATATCTGTGAAGAAAACAAAGTATTATGCACTGACGCTTTAAAAAATTACGCCCAGTTTGGTCCCTATTTGATGGGGTCTAGGAGGAATAAATTGGGTATAGACTTAATCTTTGGTATAATTGGCACAAAGTGACTATCCTCAAGTTCAAAAGCATAAAATTTCATGGCTGCAATTTACAATTAATATCAAAACTTCAATTCATTCTGATTAGCGCAAGCAACCAGGGAAAATAATATGATTGATCAATCTTTGTTGAATATAAATATAATTGTGAGGCAATTTTGTCATATATCTACATATATTGAAAGAACCAAACACAACCACTTTCACAGAATTGGGTAGAACCGGGTAATAATTCCAATTTCAGGAGTTCTTTAAGTCAGGAGACTGAAAAGGACAATACATACAAGATTTTGTTTTGTTGGTTTCGCATTCAGAGTGTCCAAAATGATCCAAATTGGATTCACAATTTTTTTTTTCTATTTCGACAAAAAAAGAATGTAATCTACCCACAGAACCCAACTCATACAAATTACTACTGCACAAGTCACTAGCAACTAAATTGGAAGAAACAAATTACTACTGCACAAGTGAATACAAATCATATGTGCTACTACTATTAATATGAAATGAAATGTTCTTTTCTCAGCCAAAAAAATAAAAAGTCAATAAAGCAACGAAAGCGTACCAGGTATTGGGAAGGAACTATGGCTCATTTGTGTAGCTCAACCTCATGCTGCTTGACTCGTCATAACTGATCTCCCACCAAATGAAAGATGATATATCAACACCCATGTCATGTGGCAGTCTTGTTTAACAGTCTGCAAAACAAACACTTCTGTGAACCAAAATTGATGCCTCAAGCAAGGCAAACCAATCTATTCAAAATTTAAAAAAGAAAAAAAAAATGGCCCTTCTGTGAGCTAACATGTCATATACTATTCTAGCCTAACGTTAATCACATCCAACATCTTACATATTATTAATTTGTCCATAATCCTTACTACTAATCCAATCAAATACATAAAAGAAAGAAACTTCATAACATTTTGCTTGCAACAACAAAACATGAACGAATTACAAAACACCATTGATGGGCACACAGCCATGTGGTGTTTCAGACCCATAAGATAATTTATGCCCAAGACGCAGAAAAATAACTCATAAGATTACTGCATTAGCAGACCAGAAAAACACTTGGCCTTGTTCGTCTAAACCAACACTTCCTACCCCAACACTGTTTATTACAAAATTGTGCAAAAAGAGAACTGACACAATGAAAGAACAGGATTCAAGACAAGCACCATGCTTGCTAAATACCCTACAAGTGCTAGATTGAGCTCCAAATTCAGTCAGCTGTGTCCTTCAATTAGTATACAGGAGTAAAAAAAGTCAACAACACACGTGATGGAACTTTGCCCAGGCAACAGTGACTATTATTTTGCCTTTTTGATGGTAAGTAATCCAGGGTCTAAAGGCCAACACAGAGGTAGGAGATGATGGAACCTGCCCTCCGTTTAGTCCTCTGGCTAACCTTCCACTTCTCAACCAGGACTTTCTTAATCCCGACACAACTAGAAATCACAGTGGCAACCCCAGCTGAAGTAATGCCTGGACAATACACCATGTGGCAGGATTCGAGCAAGGTGCATTTGCTAACAAGATGAGCTAGACCGACATCTGTTATCTGACGGCAGTGTGACAGCACTATATCCTTGAGCAAGTGACAGCCTTCACCTAACTCGGTCATTGCCATATCCCCGAGATTCTGTTAGAAAGAATAAGAAAAATGAAAGGCCAAAGTTCAATCAGTATAGTGTGTTAAAATCCACCTACTCTCCACCTACTTCACCCACTTAAACCTACTCCACTAAACCTAACCCACTACACCACTACCACCTCACCTACTCCACTAAACCTAACCCACTACACCACTACCACCTCCACTTCACCTACTCCTTACCTACTACACACTCACCCTCTTCTATATATAGGAATCATGAATCATTGTAATTAAAATTAATATAAACATCAATCAATAATACATACATAGTGCAAAGATTCAGAAAGGTATCAAGCTATAGTTGTTCATACATGACCGGTATATTGAAATCCTGCTATTATCTCAAACCACGAGAAAATATAAATAAGTGGGTCTCTGTACGCCTCACAGGTGTTGACTTTAATGGGTGGTTAATATTTTGATTTGAACTTTCAAACATCAGTGATTCAATACAAAGAGTGAATATCAGCCTGGCGAAATCTCGCTCCATGCATCACATTTTCTGACAGTCTTATGATCTCTAACTACCATAGTGCATGAACATAAATCAAGTTGATAGAGAGTATTCAAAAAAAAAAAAATGACAAAGAAGAAGAAGAAGAAAGAACTCCAAGATAGGGACTAATTCAACTCTTCTAAAAGCTATGTTAAGAACTATGTATTGGATGTTTCAATACATACGCATTTCAAGCAAAATTTTAACTTCATGACTGCTATATCTTGATGCAAGATACCAATATCAACCCACTGGACAACCATGCTGAAAATAAACTAAATTTCACTTATACACTAATATTAAAACATATAATATAATTAAATGCACTTCTATGGCTTAAAGCTCAAATGGAAATCGGCAAAGCCGCACTTTGTACAAATCTTAATACATAGTGTTATAGTCTTACAAATTCCCTCATTAAAAGAGTTCAAATGTTAAACCCTTCAAATTCTTGCCAAAAGGTGGCTCCTTCAGAGAATTACAAACTGCAAGTACGTAATTACATTGGTCTTGTAAACAATGCCCTCCACAAATATGAATTTCAAAATTAATTAACATTTAGAATTTATAGATATTAATCATAGCAAAATGCACAGAGAAGCCATACCTGAAGAACGCTTACATCTAGGCAAGTGAGTTGAGGACAGCCTCTTGCAATTGCTATGATTCCCTTGTCCCCCATTTGGTGGCAACCACTAACGTTTAAATGTTGTAGGGGGCAACCTTGACCAATAGCTATCAGTGCTTCATTCCCTACCCTGGTAGTTAAATAACATGTGAAATCACATGGGTCCAATCATTTGACAGCTAAGAAGGCACTAAAGTGACGGCTTATGAAGCTAGCAGCTTAAGATAACCTATTAATAGGTTATCTTAAGCTGCTGGCTATTACATATCCTAAACAAACATTAACCAAAAAATGAAAGAACTGAACAAAAATAGTAAATTATTCCTAGGAACCATGGACTTCCATCAAACAACACAGATAAAACAGAAAGTTCATGTAGAAATTCACTAATATATTTTGGGGGAATTACATGCAGGTGGGAGTTGGGAAAAAAATTTACAAACACATGGGGGTGCAAGTGTGTATGTGGTGGGTGCAAATGAAAGGCTATGGGGATGCAATGCATTGGTAATTTTTTTTTCCCCAGCTCCCACCTGCATATAGTTCCCCCATATATTTTTATGACATTATCCCTCCACTTAAGTGTTTTTCTTTCTTCTTTTTTTTGGATGAGTAGGACATAGGATACAATACATATTAACTAAAACTGAATTCTTTAAAGGCCCACCCCCCGAACAAATGGAAGCAACAACCGATTAAATAAATAAAGCAAAGGTAATAGCTCCCTGACATCCTTTTTGAAGCCTAAGCAGCTAAACATACAAACTCCTCGGAATCATATTGAACAAACAAAGTACAATTGAAGCTCAACCTTGGGTTGAAAAGAACCAGCCTTTTGCAGCTCCATGAAAACCAAATTGCACCATATAGAATTCACTACATTCTAAGGTAGAGAGTAAGAGGAGTTAAATGACAGCAACAGCATCAAACTTTACACTTGGTTCAACTTACCCAGCTTTAAAAGCATACGAATAGTACAGTCATTGTGCAAGAAAAACAAGTAAGAAAAATAAAAGCAAAAGAAAGCAAAATTGTTTTTCAGACTAGAACTTCAGCAGATATAATGAATGAATTATATGAGGTGAAAAAAATGGAAAGGAAATCTGTGATTATTAACAACACAGTAAGAAAAGTTCTTACCGATCACAAACCGAATACTAAGATCTGTAAGGAATTTACAATTCTTACCAACGGCTATGATTCCTGTATTCCCAACCTATAATGACAAAAAAATAAAAAATAAAAATAATAACTGATGCATTATGTTTAACAGAATGAATACTTCAACTACAAGATTTCATTCCCATATAAAGATATGGAATAAATATCACATCAGAAGGTCAAAGGTCAAAGACTTACTAAAATATTATCAATTCAATATCAATAAACATCAGTAGCAAAACATGATAAGATATTGTACCACAAAAGAAATTTAAAAGTCTAACAGATGGGGAAGGAATAAGGCTGTACAGCTAATAAGAACACTATTCACAGCAGTACATCACTTTTGACCTGAATACAGTCAAACATTTTGTGTGCAGAACAACCATCATATAAATCAAGTATTCCCAGAAGAAGACAATTCTAGGCACACAAATGAATGCCAAACATAATTCAAAGAAATACAAAATCATGGTCATCACCAAAGATTAAATTTTAAACCAAGTGACGAAAACAGGAAAAGATTAAACAAATGCAGCAAAACAAATACCTCATAGCATCGATGAATATGAAGTTTTTTCAAGTTCCTGCAGCCTGAAGCTATACTGCATATGGCATCATCCCCAATACTTGAGCAATCAACCAACTGAAGAGCTTGTAAATGTTTGCAGCCTCTGCCAACCTCAGAAAGGGCATAATTCCCTATCTTTTGGCAGTAAAGCAGAGTTAACTCTGAAAGGCGTCTGCAGTATGCGATCAAGAACTACAATTAAATAATGAAGGGAAGTATTGGCAGATGCACGCTATCAAAAGATTTTGCATAATAGAAAAGTTACGATAATTAGCCAAAGCCAAATATTCTGTGACTTAACGCTTTCAGTATGGCATGTTTAAAAAATGGAAATTATGCATTTTATGCAAACATATATTTTCCTGTTTTTCCAAATATGTTCCTTAGCTAACCCTCCCAACCCCCAAGGGCCCAAGGCTTAGTGCAGTGATAAAAACTTGGTTGTTAAGTGTGACTAACTCGGATTCAAGTATGTGAGTCGCCATTTTGTGCATATTATGGCAAAGTTAAGTCTGTATCCAGTCTATCCCTCCCGACACCCTCAATTTCGGGGACTATCACAGGCAATGACCAAACA